CCACTCGTCTCCGCCCATCGTGCCAAATACTGTACTCAGTCTCATGTCAATCTTTCTTGTTGACCAGCCACATGGACCGGTGTGTCCTCATCAGTGAGGTGGTGCTGCGCTCCTTGGCGCCAATGTCGCGTTCCGCCTCGCATCTTCAAGCTTCTCGCTCTCGTGATGGGAGCGAGCCATTGAAAGAACGAACTTGATGTCGTTCCCGTTGACATCGCACCAGTGCAGGGCGTCGGCAATCATGTCGGCCGCCAGATATTCCCGACCGTTCGGCGTCCAGGCGTTGCCTTTCGCTGCCATGTATGCCTTCAAGGCCTGTTCAAACCGAGCAGCGCGTATGGAAGGCATATCTGCCGGCGAATGCGGGGCGTGAAATTGCTTGGGGAACGAGACGCAGACTGGAACCGAGTTCATTGCATGCTCCCGGAAGCGTTGTGCGAACTCATGAATTCCCGTGCAATCAGCTCAGCACGTTCCTGGGCAACAGCAGGCCGGATACGGATAGCTGTTGCGCGGCGCTCTTCAGACTCAGCTGGTGTGCTGTGTGCTGCAGTGGCGCGCGAGTCGCAGATCTGTTCGATCAGCCACGTCACGAAAGCATCGCGGGTAGCCCGTGAGCATTTATCGAGGCAAGTGGGTTCAAAACCCAGTGATCCTTGCCAGGCCGCTTTGGCCACTTGGAGTGCCAGCACTTCATACGCCTCGTCATGATTGCTGTGCAGAAAGCCAAGACGGCCAGCGCCGGTGGGTAAAGGCAAAAGCGGATGTTTCGGATACAGAAGGTGGCCCATGTAGCCGTCATCTGTAGCCTGCATCGTCCCAACGTACAGACCCATCGTGGTCCTTTGTAGGCAGACCACGCTGTGTTGGTGTTTGCGCCCTTTGTCGAGGGCGCTCGAAAGCTGGAGCTGAACCATAGAGTTTCCCCTGTAGAAGTTCCCTGTTCGGGAGAGATTGCCTTGGGTGAGAAGGCACAGGCGTCATAACGGCACGCAACCGATCTGAAAAAGATGAAGAAATATTACCACAGCCAATACTGTCGGCAAGCGAAAAATTACAAAATGCGAATGAAGAAAGTTTAGGTTTGAGTGACAAGCGCTATCACTCATAACAAGCAAAGAAAAGCCCACGTACATCCGAAGATGAAACGTGGGCTGGGGATTGGAAATTAGCCGCTTGTGGGCACTTCCTCTGGCTGACTTTGTATTCTTAAACTGCTTGGACTCACAGGGAACCACCAGGATGAACAGTCAAAATAAACAAATCGTCCATACTCGATGCTTGGCGAAAATCCTGTCACGGTGAGATTTTTGAAAACAGCACCGTAGTCGTTTGTGTAGGTCACCAAATCACCTGCAGCCAATTCGCATGGCTCAGGAGGCGTCATTTGTGCTTCATCAGCTAACGGATAACGCATACCCTCAATGAAGTGGGCTTTGCATGATCGCTTCATGTTCAGCTCCTAGCCGTTTCGCAGCGCTTCCCACGCTGTCTCAGCAGAGATCAGCGACACGTTCCGTTGAACTGCCTTGATGTCTTCAATGGCGCCATCAAGGCGTTGCATGGCAGTCTGAACGCTATCGCAGTCTTCCGACGAAGCCAGTTCTGCCATCAAAAAGCGTAGCAATCCATTGCCGCATTCCCTAAGAGCAGCGTTGAATTGTGCTTCCGATTCGAGGGCTGCAAGGTGTTCAAAGTCTCCATTTGCATAGAACTCAAGACACTTCATTTGGGCAGCATTCAAACAGGGCTTTGTCAATTTCACCTCCGCGCTGTGTTGAAGAACGCTTAGGGGTGCCGGCGCGTCAGTATCAGCAACAATAGGGACGTCTACATCCATCGTGCGATAAATGACTGGGTATCCAGCTGTTGCCGTGACAACCTCAAATTTGCATCTGCTCGTGCTCGTAGGCCCACGCACGACGAACACTCGGGTATCAACTCCATGGCCACGGAAAAATGCGGCCACTTGTTCGGCATACTCGGTCGCTGCATCCTCGCTATCCATGCCGCGGAATACTGAGCCGGTTGGCTTCAATTCAAGCGGAACGGATGTTGGTGCTGGGTAGATAACAGCCCATTTATCGAGGCGATGTTTCCCCGCATCAATGTTGGATTGATTTTCCATTTACGTTCTTTCGTAGATGGACAGTCCATTACCTTGAAGGCAACAGGCGCTGTCCGGGTCAATGTTTTTGATTAACTTTTCGGTCAATCCTTGGCTAAATTACGCATAGCTGGCGGTTTTTAAGGACGATCTGACTATAGCAAAACATCGCATGGCTATTTGGCCAGTAGCTGAACTCGCGATTCCGTGATGATCGCGTCTTCCAAAAAAAAAGGCGCACCCTGCAATGGTGCGCCTTTAGTGCTGGTCAGTTCAGCCTGGAGTATTTCGGAAGCCGGGCTGCAAGCCACTCATGGACGTCTGCCCGGATTCCTCTTCCTGCAAGCAGGAAGTCCTCAAATCGGCTTGGAACGTACGGCAGATACACCAATGGCATCTTGGCCTGTTCAGGGCTTCTATCAGCCTTTCTTGAGTTGCAGGCAGCGCATGCGCAAACCAGATTGCCCCACGAAGTCGGCCCGCCTTTGCTCGCCGGCGTCACATGCTCGACCTGCAGGTCTTTTTCAGGAAAGACCTGATTGCAATATGCGCACGTGGCGCGGTCTCTCACGATCAGCTTTTGCTTTGTGAAGGTTGGCACCACATCAAACAGGTTTACAGCTGGTTTGCCGCGCAGCGCGATGATGGGATGGACAACGATTTCCGATTGACGGCCGCTGGCCACATTCCAGCCGCCACGCAGGGTTACCAGTGGTGACGCACCTTCTTCCCACGCGATCGTGTCCGTCGCGTAGTGAAGGGCAGCGTCCTCGACGGTCAGCCAGGCTTGCGGCGTGCCCTGGATGTCCAGCTGCAGCACCTTGCGCGCGTCCTGGCGAATGCGATGGTTATTAAGCATGGATATCCCCTTTTGAGTTTTGGCGATGAATAGAGTGAGCGTTTGGTAGCAGCTGGGAGGATCGAACTCACGACATTTCCCGTGTAAAGGGAATGCTCTACCGACTGAGCTAAGCTGCTAAAGTTGTTGGATGGTGCGGCCAGAGAATTTCGCAATCTCGACCCCCTGGTTAAAAGCCAGGTGCTCTACTCCTGAGCTATGACCGCATGAATGAAACTGTTGATTGGGGTGTCCAGCCGGGTTCGAACCGGCGACCCTCGGGATCACAACCCGATGCGCTAACCAGCTGCGCCATGGACACCAAAACTGGTAGCCGGAGCCGGGATCGAACCGGCGACCCATGCCTTATCAAGACATTGCTCTACCTCTGAGCTATCCGACTAAAAAAATGGCTCCTCAACCTGGCATCGAACCAGGGCGCTCTGGATTAACAGTCCAGCGCTCTACCAACTGA